CAGAAAACTGTATGATCTGTCCTAACGGGAGAGACGGGGATTGCATGAGTTTAGGTATAACGTACTTGATCTCAAGTAACACATGCGGCGAGGAATATATTGGGGAAACGGGTAGACCAATTTGTGTCCGCATAAAAGAACATCTAGATGGAAAGGCTAAACTCCGTTTAAACACCCCTCTAGGTACGCATAGGGCACAAAAGCACAATGGCGATGATTTTGAAGTGAATGTGCGGATCCTAGCGCAGGAATCAAAAACATCAACGCGCAAAACTCTTGAGGCGTTTTGGATAAATTTCAAAAATCCATAGATGAACCGGAAGGACGAATGCCTCACTATCACGCGTGATCTGGCGCCCTATTTCAAAATGATATTTTGACCCCGGGGCGTGTCTTGCTCGCGACTCCACGTGAACTACGTGTGGGCCAGTCCCGCACGTAACATCACGGTGAGTGGCCTTTCTGTTCAATATGGCGTCTATTTGAAAGTTTGATCTTCATTAATACTTTAACCTTCTTTTCCACCGAATAATAAAAAGTATTCTAACATAAAGTACGTCCAGACTCTGAGGAAGACGAAGTCGCCGAAACGTCAGCCATCGATCAATAACATCAAAAACAACGACAACGAAGATCTGTACCAACCTCACGTCAGCTTAAGAAGATCAGTTTATAAGATCACATAAATAAATATATGAACTCTATCAGCATTCAACAATATTCGGGAAGAAGACGACATTCCTCAAGCAGCAGCCGACCGGCACGCGAACAGTTCGGGGAACTTAGTGGATGATGGGTAAGATGAGACGAATCGAGTGCAAGAAGTTCTGCGATCACCGCAATAGATGTGAAAGACAGTTGGTTTAAAAAAGTAAATACAGGTATAAATAAAAACAGTTCTAATGCATCAGCGCATATGATATACGACAGTGATTAATATGGGTTATGTGAATTGAGAGCTCAGCAACTGAACCTTACTACACAAAATGTAGCAGGATGAAGGAGATGACATCGTAAGAACGGTATCGAAGCGAATAGAATGATGATTGAGGTTGCTGCTCACGATTCTGGTAGAGTGGGCGGAGTTAGGGCGTACCTTGAGGGTTTCCATTCAAATCAGGAGGACAGAGTTTATTCATCGTTTTAAACACATTAGGCAAAGAATGCACCGGCCCAAGAAGTACACTTCCTACAAAAGAACTGCTTTTTTATTATATCATGGTATACGTGATGCGAACAAGACAAGATACAAATAGCCTCATTCACACAAAAGGGTTACGCGGACTGAAATGGTGGAGCTGACAGAGAAAGATCATCTGATAAAAGCAGAAGCTTTACACGGAAACTGGTTAAACAGCGCATGGCAAAGATATGCAAGCGTAAACAGGTGATTGCATGTGAGTATAGAAAGGGAAGGAAATGGACAGAAATGGAGAATACTCTCTACTGCTAGGTTAGCCAAAAATTAATGTCACATTTGTAATTCCATTTCTCTCGTAGACATCACAGCAATAGTTTACTTTCGAATGCTGTCCTAGTGTATACCAATGGAAGTTAATTTTATGCTCTCATTCCGTCTATGTAACCATAATATCCCATGTGTATTTGACAAATTTTAAGGGTTAGAATTGTAACTGTCTGAACAGTAATTTCAATAGATCTTCTTCTACCAATTCAAACCCGGATGCAGTGCACCGCAAGCGGGTCGAAACAGCAGTGACAGGGAAGTGTTATGGGAGTATGGGGAAAAGGAAGCTTTAGCGAACGCACATTGGGACGTCGGTTTCAAAAGTTTCGTCGTGACGAGTTCAAACATGAAGAAGGGAGGGGTGGCATTCTTTCTTCTGCTGCTGACGACGATGAATTGAAGACTTTGGTGAAAGCAAACACAACTGTTCAAGAGTTCGCAAAGGAACTGGACGTAAGCATCCCAACAATTTCGATGCACCTAACCACCGTTAAAAAAGTCGGAAAAGCTCTACAAATAGGTGCCGCATGAATTGAATGACAACTAATGAAATCGAAATCGGTATCATTGGCGTTCCTCGTGCTTAACCAGGACGACCCGTTTCTCAGCCGTATGGTGACGTGTGACGAGAAGTGGATCTTCTACGACAACGATAGATTGTCCGCTTGCTGTGGGACTGCAACGAAACTTCACAGCATGATTTCCTAAGGTCTAAATTGCACCAAAAGAAGTTTAAGCTGGTGGGTTACAGCTGCTTTGATCCATTAGGGCTTCCTGGATCCGGATGGAATAACAGCGTCAGGAGAGTATGTCTAGCAAATTGACAAAATGCATCAGAAACTTCAACAACTGCGTCTGTAGTTGGTGAACAAAAGGAGACTAATCCCCATCCACGATAACGCGTGGTCACAGTGGCACCACCGCCGCTGCAAGAGTTGCACGATCCAGGCCACGAAACTGCCTCATCCGCCAGACCTCTCGCCTACCAACTACTACTTCTTCAAACATCTCGGCGGCTTCGTATGCAAAAAATGCTCCAGGAACAAAACCGACGCCGAAAGTGCCTTCAACGACTTCATCGGATCCAGAAGTCCAGATTTTTGTGCAACCGGCACAAGTAAGCTTGCTTTTTATTGACAAAAGGGTATACTTCTATTTCGGTTAATAGGACTTGTACGAGCTGAAATACGACATCAATTTCCGAACAACCTCGTGTGCAGGGAACAAGCAGTCCTCCCCTGTTGTTGTTCAGTCCCTGTTCGCTCTACATCCACCGCCATTCAGGGCCACCCACACCAGTGGCGATCGTTCGACGTATTTCGATCGATTGATTGGGCAATTTTGATCACTTTCTTTGCCACTTATTGATGCATCTCACTTTTCCTGTGCTCTATTTTCTTCGACTTCCATATTTATCCCGAAACTTCGCGAATAAACCCGTGATCAAATATTTTAGGAAACGTATTGCAACGTTTCCACGCTAGATGATCGTTTTTCTTTTTAGGTGTGTGGCTTCTAGCAACCTCTGAGCACGGTCTGAAGCAATGGCTGACATGAAACCCGTTTCTTCGTAAGTTTTCTTCCGTACTTCCGTTGCTCTTCCTCGTCAGATTCGTATCCATTTGTGTGAACGTAGTGTCTTTTTTTCACTTGATAGCTATTTCTTAAACATACAAGGGCTTGTCCTCTCACTTGAAAATGAGCCACTCATATCAAATTGTTTAAAGGAATTCTTTCATTGATTATCGTTTTCACCGGGATGTGAACCAAGTGCCATCTTTTCCTAAGGCCATTCTTGTTGTTGGTACATCCTCTTTCTCTAAAATTGCTTCTATTCTATGTTTTTATGACTCATTTCTTTTCTTAGGAAAGTGTTTCTACGTTGGTGTTCCGTTCCTGCATTTCTAAATTCAGTGTTAAATGAGGAAAATAGTTATCTGCATGGGTGATCGAGCGCTTACGCACGTACTGATTGTTTACAAAAACATTTCGGCGTTAGATTTACTTCAGAGTAAGATCTTTAGAAGATGGACCAGTGTTTCAGTGGGTCTCCCTCTTTCTGGAAGAAGTACGGACCATCCGAGAATACTGTTCGTGGGATTGTCATCGGAGGAATCACTGGAGGTAATTCCACAAATTTCTTGCTGTCAGCGTTTGATTTTACTCCATCGAAATTTATAGTCAACTGTTGGAGGTCTTTAGTTTTGTTTTTATTGTTTTTTTTATTGTTTTAATATGTGTAATAATTCATCTGGGGCAAACTTTCGCCAGGCTGACCTCGGGACTCCCGTGAAACACAACGACTAAGCCAGCAAAGCTCCGAAAAGTGGAGATAATGCTGGGGCCCGTACAGTCTGTGAGGACGTGCAGTTCAAGTACCCAAGTAATAATTCACCTAATTTTCCAGTTTTATGTAATATTATTAATGCTATTATTAATGATGACGTTTGTAGTAAGTCGGTCTTCTAAGTTATTTCGTGTTTTTTTGGTTTTTTTTAACCTTACTGGTTGTTTGCCTTCCTCGTTCCGGCGTTACTATCTGTGGGGGTTCATTCCCCTCCCCCGTCTCCCTCCATAATTTCCTTTGTTACATTCGTTTACTTTGTGTTAAATAGCTTCGCAGAACTTCTGTTGCTTCTAATAAAAAATTGTAGCTTAAGCGATCCGTATACATCCAGTCTTCTGATAAGTGATGTCTTTTCCAGGGATTGAAATTTGCATCACATTTCCCACCGAGTATGTGAAGACACAGTTGCAGCTCGACGAGAAATCCGCAAAACCAAAGTTCAAAGTAAGTTATGACTTATTCTTTGCATTCCTTCTGTCTCATATTTTCATTTTATCATCGTTATTAAGATTAACATGTTTTTTTTCTTTTTTATTCTTTCAGTTCCTTTAGGGACCTATTGATTGTCTGAAACAAACGGTTAAGTGCCATGGCTTTTTTGGTCTTTATAGAGGACTCTCAGTTCTATTATATGGTTCGATTCCCAAGTCTTCGTTCAGGTGAGCTGCTTATTTTGCCTATATCCTTTATGCTATTGCTTAAATGTGATATTTGGTGATGGATGTATATGATAACCACATTCCATTACCAGTTTTGTCATGAATTCTTGACTACATAATGCTATTACTCTTGACTGTTGAGGTTTTACTGAGATTACAAGAGAAAATTTTGAGGTTTAAAACATTGCTATTGTCAATTCATTGCTATTTCTAGATTTGGGACTTTTGAATTCCTGAAAGGCAAGGCGATTGATGAAAAAGGAAGTCTGACTCCAATGATGCGTCTTGCCTGTGGTCTTGGTGCTGGTAAGTGTAGTTTCTGAGTGCTATTTGAAAAGAACTTATTAGCAGGAAGTTTACATTTATCATCGTTTATATAGCTTTCGCGTGTGGCTTAGTGGTCGAAGGCGCCGTGCACTACACATGGAATTGATCCCAGCGCCCATGGCTCACCAAGCTTTCTATCCTTCCGCTATCGGCAAATTGGCACCAGACTTGTCTAGGAGGATGGCAGCACTGGCTCGATACATCGGTAGACCACCACAAGTTCTTTTAAAGGCCATATATGCATTCAGTCACACCCAACGATGCTTAATGAAGTCGAATGCACGGCGCATCCCTCAGCGATTGACCAACGCCGAGAGCTTTATTCTTTATCCTTTTATCGGTTACGTAGCTTTCGAAACATTATCCTTTGATTGCTCCGGCTAGTTCTTTGTTTCAGCTGTTGATAACTTTGTTTTAGGCATATCGGAAGCAGTTTTCGCTGTCACACCCATGGAGACGATAAAGGTGAAATTTATTCACGATCAAGGACTTCCGAATCCCAGGTATAAGGGATTCCTCCATGGAGTCGGCTGTATAGTCAAAGAGCATGGAATAGGAGTATGCGTTTGATGTTTTACTTCCTTCATGGTAGTACTCTCTAGATTTTATTGAGTTCAGGGTATATACAAAGGTGTAACAGCAACAATGGCAAAGCAAGGTTCAAATCAAGCTATACGATTTTTCGTTATGGAAACTTTGAAGGTCTTTTTCCTAGTATATTTAAGTTAGACGAATAGTTCTAACAAGATAACGTGTGTATTTTTAGGATTGGTATCGTGGTGGTGATAATACGAAGCCAATATCGAAGCCAGTTGTTGGTTTAATGGGTGCTACAGCAGGTCTTTGTTCTGTCTACGGTGCGATTGTTTTTGGAAATCATTTTTTAATAATTTTTTAATACCTCGTACTCAATCTTTCGTCTTTCAGCTTTTCCATTCTAGGAAATACTCCTATTGACGTGGTGAAAACTAGGATGCAGGGTCTGGACTCGCATAAGTACAAGAACTCCATTGATTGTGCCGTGCAAATATGGAAAAAAGAGGGTTTCTTTGCGTGAGTTATTTTTTTGCTAAGGATTTCTGTGCTCAGCGCAAACTACTTTGCGTAGCCAGTTGCTCAGCTTCCATTGGATGAAGCCAGTTATCATAAATATCAGTGGGTTAATATCAACTGTATTTCAGGTTCTACAAAGGAACTGTACCGCGACTGAGTCGAGTCGTCCTTGATGTTGCAATAACATTTATGATTTACGATTCAATAATAGACTTCCTTAACGTTTACTGGAGGAGGCCTGTTAACTAGGCTAGGCAGGTGCTTCTGTAGTGGATGTGTAGAAGCCGTCCGCTACTCGGTGTGATGTGCTACGAGTTGCGCCTATGTGATTATCTAGCAACAAATTCCGTTTAGCACAGGTTTCATCTGAATATGAATTAGTAACGATGCCTAACCTCACTTTCCTATCTTTGTCCTTCAACTTCCATGTTTCGTTGATAACGTAATCGAATTAAGATTGATGCGTTTCGTTCGAAAATGGACATTCTTGTTGAATAGGAGTAATGATGTTGGATGCTTCTACTATTTTTGTATTTAGATTATTTATGTGTTAAACTAAGTACATTATGATTACCTGAGTGATTTTGCTAAAGTAGAGCGGCGCTTTTAGGTGCAGACCTTGGTTTTTTAAAATGTTTTTCCTGTGATGAACCTGATATCTTATATTGAAACACTGATGTGTTCGCTTGTTCAGTCGTACCAAATGAACACTGTTTATGGGTGGAGCTTTCTGTCATAGTTTGGGAAACTTTCGGTGTGTATTAATGAATGGCGCGTGTAGCGCAGTGGTCGGAGGAGCCCCGCAATACACCTGGGATCAATCCTGGCGTCTCAGTCCCGTCAAGTCTTTCATCTCCCCAGGGTCCGGAAATTGCTACCAGACTTGTCTGGGAGGATACCAGCAATGGCTCGATACGTGGGTAGGCCATCGGGAATCATTGTAAAGGCCAAATGTCCGTTCAATCACCTCCAACGATGCTTAATGAAGTCGAATGCATGGCGCGTCCTCCAGGGACTGATCAACGCCGAGAGCGTTGTCCTTTCGTTTTATCAATGCGTATGTGGAAATGATTGGTTGGCCTATACAGATCGGTTTTCATACATATATGGAACATTGCTATCTACTTAAAATAAAGAAATTGAAGACTCCTTGTGCTTGAATCAAACCGATGTACTTGTCGTGCATCTTGGACTTGTCCACGTCTTTTCCACATTCTACGGCTTTGATTGCTTGTTGAGGACGGTCCTGAAATTTTTCGTGTACATCATGATAGTTCCTCGTTGGTCTGTCTCGTTCAGCCCCACCATGAAGCTTTGATTCTATTAGGTCTTCAGTTACTCAGTGTTTCTGGATAACCTGCGTGGAAAGTCCTTCATTCATGTTCCGACAGATTTTCCTCTTAGCATCTACGCAATGGAACCACCTTTAGAAGAGTCATTTGTGTTATCGCGATCATTAAAATCTGCATAGATTCATTTTCTTTACGGTGGTTTATTTTTGCGCATAGAAATCTTTTCTTAGAATTCTTGCAATCGGTCGACAGCTTGTCGTACAGGAATTTTGTGGCTGTGGCCATGGTTCATGGGAAATTACAATTTTCTAGACGTAACAGTTTTAAAAATACCTTTTTCTGAGCATTATTCCACGGGCGGTAAACAGGTGCTAGTGAACAGAGCGGCCACCAGAGGTAGTCCCAGCAGAGTACAGCGACTTCTCTACTGTACCTCAACACTGAAGTTCGGCACTTACGGGCGTCTTTTCGCTACAGTAAGACGATGTATTAGAGAGAATAGCTGTGTAGGTGGGTCGAAATATATTATGTATTCTATGTCGTCGATGCAACTGTTTATAAAATGTTTAGGGATTTGTCAATATGTTCCCATGCACAGTGTCTTGTTACCAACACTTATTCCTATGCCATTTTAATGACATAAATGCCGTACTGAAACGGATTCTTTAAACAAAATTCTTATGATGTCTACAGCATAAAAATTAAAAAAACTGTAATGAGAACGACTGTACATCAACCTGTCGTATACCTCTTTGGTCAACGAGTGAGTCGAGCGGGCGCCAGTAAACCGTCCATTTCTCCCTGTCGCATGTAAGAATAGCCAGTGGGTTCTGCTCGCTGCAGCGACTAGTTGACCATCATACATTTCTTCTAGGATTTTCGTGAAGCTGTTCTCCATCGGTTTTTGTTTATACAAATTAAGTGTATGGCCCACCTTATCTTCGACAGTATAGCGGATGGAGCGGCATGTTTGGTTTTTGATCGTTGACGTAGGTCGGAGCTTTGGATACTATCCTTCACTTGTGTGACACGGGATACTCCTAGCATCGTCCTTCCGACTGAGCGTTCTATAACGCTGAGTGATCTTTCACCCTGCTTACGCAACGACCAAGTTTCTGACGCATACGTTAAGCTCTGGGGGTGCCGTTCATCGTATTGATTTCCCGATCTAGATAGAAATAACTGGAGCATTCGGAGATATTCGTTCCGTTGAGCGTGAACCGTGCATACGAAGCCAATTCGGTTCACAAACATCGTTTTTGTGACAGTTAGTCGAAGACCTATTATTCCACAAGCGTTATCACAGTCGGCCAGCATTCGTTCCGCTTGGCTAATGTTTGGTGTTATAAGGACGATGTCATCAGCAAAGCGAAGGTTGCGTGATTGCCGACCATTGATTCCAGTAACAACATCTACCTAAAATCCAACTTGTGAGCTGAAACCCCAGTTTATGGTGGTTTTGGGGCTTTGTTTTTTTGAACTTGACGGCTTTTTTTCCTTTCTACGAGGAATGGAATCTTACACGAAGGGAGCGGTGGTCTGATCATGTGTACAATTTTGGAACAATAGCGGCATAGGTTGGACAAAATCCTCTACTTATTATGACTTGGTCTATTTTGTTATGGCATTCTCCGTTAGGGGACTTCCACATCCAGAACTGAGAGTGGGCCTTCCGGAATTGCGAGTTACCATGAATGGTCTTAATTGTTATGGTTAACTCAGCTGCTCACCCTGCCCCTCATTCTTATCCGTGGGCTCCAATGTGATATTCTGGAGACGTTCTACTGGATCCAATCTTAGCGTTAAAATTGCTAATAATGACTGTACGGTCTTTTCGGCAGAACCTGTCGAAGTCCATATGGAAGCCTTCGACTTCGTCATCGTCATAGCTTCATATTAGTTACGACGACGACGAAAATTATCAAAGCTGGTATGGATCCATATCTCTTCACCCGTAAACGTCCGATTCAGGTTGTTAATTGTTCAAATGAGTTGATGTTCATAGCAAAGCTTGCACTGGCGTAAACGCGGAAATGTAGCATGTTTCGAGGAACAGTTCTTCACTAGTGTCACAGACAGCGTTGAATAGCGATTTTCTTCGTATTTTTGTTAAGCAAACGCGAGGTGTTACTATTCTTTGTTCACGATTAAGCTGACGTTTCGGCGGATTTCGCCT